CGGTTCACACCCCATCACAAGCCAGCAAAACACCCAGGAAACAAAGGAAGGTCTGTCACAGCCAAAAAAATACACTTTAGACACACCGCTGGCACTAGAGACACAGCATGCCAAACGGATATATAATATATATTATATATGTGTAGACATGCGTCCTCTACGACTGAGCACAATTGACTCTTTTGCCACAGTGAAGGGGCAGTTAAAAGACGAAAGAATGAGAAAAACGAATGGTTTCAGTGAGCCCTTCATGTTGAGACAAACTCTAGGATGCATCGTTTTTTGGAAAATCTGAATTGAATAGTGTAGAGGCTGAACATCTAAGGGCATACTCACACCAGCACTTTTACTAAATGTATCTGAGGGCAATGGATGAATCTGGCCGCAATCACGTCCAGAGCTAAGTGGAAAAAAGTCTTCCTAATGTGAAAAAGCCCTCAGACAACAGTTAGTACCATACTTGCAAGCAGACGGACCGGACGAGCGTCCGGTCCGGTCCACTTTGTCGCGTGCGGCACCCTCCCCCCGGACCGGACGGACCCGGACCGGACCAGACGGGGGCATTTTTTTTTTGGGGGGGGGGGGGKGGGGGCGTAACTGGTCATCAGGCGCACATTCGTGCGCCGCACGGGTCCGGTCCGGCGGTCTGCCGCTGCCGCACGTGCGGAACGGCCCGGACGGCGTCCGCTTGCAAGTATGGTTAGTACTAGAGAGAGGGACTAGGATAAGCACAGAGGACAGTGCACCCCATTAGGTGGGTAAGTGGAGCTGAGGCTATTGGGTGGTTCAGCCAAGCCAAGGGCTAGGATGGCCCCTTGGAACTTGGTTTTGGTCTGTTCTTGGGGGAGGGGGCACTTCTCTCTTCCCCGAGGCCATTATGGCTGTATTTGGGGTAACTTTCAGTCTAGATAGGGCAATAATGACCATGCCTGCATTTAATTTTGGCGACGATGGTAGGGGTGCGCAGGAAACACAGGACATGATCCAAAAGCCTTTGCAAAACAGGGGCAGGTGAGGAGGAGGAATCCCCGTTGGGCAAACCAGCATAGGCAGGGAAGATAACCCCTTGTTTTTTTTTTTGCTTTTCTTTTTCCCTTGGTTAAACCAACAGTACATGTCATACATAGGCCGCGGGCCCCTTCCAGAGGCCAGAAACGTGACAAAGGCCACCTATGGAATGCATGCCAACGATGGCCCCCCCCCGACTGTTTCAGATGGGCAACGAGTTCTGTTTCAGCAAGGCTGGGGCAGTGTACTGGTGGTGTAATCCTTCCCCTGGGGAAGCAAACAATTCCAGGACAGTGATGGGGGGGGGGGGTCGGGGCAACGGGCGTCTAAGGCTTGGGCCTGCTCCTGCCATGATGGGGAGGGGTGTGAGAGAGGGTAAATTTGATTTTTTTTCAGTAACTTGCCGGCCAGCAGTAAATTTGATTTTTTCCACTAACTGCCGCCCCCAGAGCAGAGGGATAACTTGTTGTATTGTTCGTTTTGCAAAAAAAAAAACAGACAGGAGGTGGGATGGGAGAAGAACTCTGCAAAGGGTTCTTCCATGCCACCTCGTGGTTCTAGTCTTTTTTTTTTTCTTTTTTTCCCATCGCAATTTCCCACGCAGGCTGCAAAAAAGGGTTTGATTCCCCGAGAGAAAGAAATTGATATGAAGAGAACGGGGTGTTGTAAGCAGTACAGTGGCCTTGTGGTCACTATCTCACTGCATGAGATTCGCCCCTTTTTTCCAAAGGTTCCAAGAGTATTTATATATTTTTTAAAAGGAAAAGAGGGCCGAACTCGGGGGGAGGAGGGAGGGGGTGGGGGGGAAGGAGAAGGCAAAAAGGCATGTACTGTACGAAAGTGAACAAATCCCTGCCCTTCCGTCCCCCCCTCCCACCCCACCTTCCCACTCCTAACACACACAACCCATAGCCTTCACCATCACTCCCCCATCTTCCCCAGACCCGACCTTCACCCGTCTCCACCTACCCGGACCCTTCTGCCCCTCACCACCCCATGCCAACCGCTCCCCTGCACCCTGATGCCGGCCAGGAATCAGTCCCCTCCAAGCACACAGGCCAACACCAGCAACGCATGACAAAGGGGATCAAGAGTGCGAGAAGGAGAGGCTCACATGTGGGAGAACGAGAAGGGCCAACACAACCACAGGTTCACTGAGAGGCAGATTGCTAAAGTCAAATGAGGAGTAAGGGGATCGTATTACTAAGGACCCCCTCCAAAACAGACTCGCGGGCCTATGGCTCTGCTGCTGGGTGTGTACGAACTTTCGAATAGAATCAGGGTGCAGGGGAGGGGTTGGCATGGGGTGGGGAGGGACAGAACACAACTCTGCTGGATGGTACTTCGCGGAACTGAAGTGATGTGTACATGTGTAATGCGGACACTGCGGGACCCGGGGCAAGGTCCCACTTGCGCAAATCAGGAGATATCGGCCGTTGATCTTTTTCTATCTACGGTCAGTATCTCTTAATTCGTGCAAGCGGGACCTAGCCCCCGGTTTCCAGCAGTGACGTACAACAGGAAGTCCGACGCTGGACCCGATTCCCAGCAAGTGCTGCTGGCCCACTAATAGATGGAGCCCTCCAAGGGTGGGGACCACTTGCAGAGGGTGCTCGTATCACCTCTGCGAGTGACATCCCCACGACCAGAGAGGTTTATGCCAGACTATGACAGAGAAAGTTTCTAGGAAAGTACATTACAATTATGGACCTCACTCCACTACTCTCCAAATGTACAAAATGAGAATAAATCTTCCGCTAGAACATGCAAAGATAGGCCTCCATATCTTTTGTCTTTTGTGCATGCGGAGAGTAGTGGAGGGAGGGAGGCCCTATGTCTCACCTAGGCAGCACTGCCGCTGGTTAATGGATCGGTTGTGCATGATTATTGGGTGGAGCGGCGGGGAGCAAGGTAGGGTCATGATTATTGGGTGGAGCGGCAGGGGAGCTACTTTCTTCCCCCGAATACAACGTACGGTCATTATGGCTGTTTCTAGACAGAAAGATGCCTCAAATACAGGCTATAATGACTGGCGTACGTTGTATTCGGGGGCAGGGAGCTAGGTGGGGCTAATGTGATTTGTATCTAGACAGAAAGAGTTCGAATTTCCCAAGGACCAACTGGCCCAGCTCAGTTGGTACAGTCAGGAACTGCTTTTTTTTTTTTTAAGAAAGGACTCATTCATTATATTTCAAAACACATTAAACCGAGGCCGACAACTGTTGAATCATAGACCTGAGTTCAAATCCTGATGAAATCAGATGAGCAACAATAACTCTGAATTTTTACCTGGGGCCGGTCCGTTCAAGCCTCAAGGATAATATCTCGCCGATTCGCACGGCCGTCGCCCTTTCAGAAAAGCAGAAAGGATGCCTATAACGTGAGGGTCCCCATGTGATTCGGTCTTGGCTTATCTGCAAAACCACGGCCGCAAAGCGTGCCTGCTGCCGCCCAGGGCCCCGCAAGAAGACTGGCCTGGCAAAGCCGCATCTTTCACCCTCAGACGAGGCTCACCTCCTAAACCACCCGCTTGGCCTCTCTCCTGATCGGAACACATGCGTATACCCATCATTTTCATTCCGCCCTTTTTTTCTCTTGCGTATCCATCATCATAGCATGGACCTCTCTCTCTCTCTCTCTCTCTCTCTCTCTCTCCTGTCTCTTATACACATCTAGATGTGTATAAGAGACAGGGGTGAATGTTAAGCCCAAAGATGAATACTTCA